GTGTAAAGAACGCATTGCTTTGTCTATTTGATAGTGTAGGCCTGAGAAAGAACTGAAAATCAATCTTTGTTCCTCAGAAACTGTTATAGCTATTCTAAAAATTCCGATGTACCAGTTTTAGTGAACTTTGCTCTTTGTAAGCTAATGAAATTCTAGTTACAACACCCAAAAGTTGATTGCCATAGAAGCCAACTAAGAAAATACTTTATTAGATTTATCAATCATTGATGGACTCAATACGAATTCCTTTGATCGTTCTCTTATTATAAGATAGTATGTAGAGTATCATCGATTTATTTTTCTCATATTTCATAAATACGATGAGATTTTTTTAATAGGTAAGCTTTGAAACTTTTTGAGTCGAATTCACTGTTATTGATTGAACAAGAGTAGCTTCCTAAGAATTTTTTTTCTAGGACATATTGAACAAATTCTAATTAATAGACTTCAAATTGTTTCTGTATAATATAGAATCGCTAGTGTCAATGATTCGAGTACGTTATTTTTTAGTTTGATTTTCAAAGCCGATTTTTCTAAAATACTAATACCCTGTTTCAAAGCAAGAAAATTTTAAACTTAAAATTAAATAGCTAATTCTTGAAATCAAAATAGTGAATAACAGCCCTATGATTGATACAGTTTTGTTAGATCACTTGACTTAGCTCTAAAACGAGAGAACGTCTGAAAAACAAAGAATCATGTCGAACTGGTAGCCGTACAGCGATCAATCGTGTCTATTCGACACTCAATAGATCATTGAAAAGTGCTTGAGATGCTTCAAATTTTGAGTATGCTTTTTAATCGATTTTGTATAACTTTTGTAGCGCAATCACCCACAGTATTTTCCATAAGGGATGCACAAGTAATGCAAATGCGAGCATGAAAAAGATGAATTAGAAAAAAAGGTATTAATAGATGCAAACTAAATATCTGACGTTTTGTAAATTTTTTTCTCTGTTGATAAAATCAATTTGAAAAATATTCGAAAATATCAATGCTCTATAAAAATCTTTTCGAAAAGGGTAGAGGCGCATAAAGGGTCACTGTGACCACTTGAAATTTTTATTTAAAACAAGTTAAGGTGTGGCTGTGGGATGCGGATGAAATGACTAACATCCACACTCACATCCTCCTGCTCTACAGTCTCAAAGTGATGTTTTCAGTGGCGAAAGCTCGATTTTAGTCAACGTTCATTAGATTCTAGTAAGCAAGAGTAGATGTAGTCGTTGTCTTTGGACGTACTCCAGAGTGTCTAACTGGTGAATGAAGAAACACAGCAAGCCTATGAATCAACAAGTTGACCTCGTCTCTTACATACCTCATGTAGATCTACCCAATTCCCGCATAGTCTAGTAGTCATTTTCCAATCACCGATAATGCTCTTTGTTCGCGCGGGCACGTACGTATATATATGAGAAAGAAGTATGAATACAGAAGCGACAGTTAAATAAAAAGAATGCATTTCAAAAATAAGGCACTTGTTTTGTCAAAATACATGAAGAAAAATCGAAAACATCCTTCAATGATTTTTTTTGAACACAAAAATATTTTAAAAAATCAATGTTTCTTTTTTATTGAGAATCGTTGAACTCGATGATTCCATTGATCAACAACATACAGATTGCCATATCGGTCGAATGATAATCCCATAGGATTGCTCAACTGGTTTGCTTGCTCACCTTTATCATGGCCACCAATAATCACATCTCCTTGTGTCGCTCCTTTACTCCAACGCATCACGCGATCATTGCCATCATTCACCACATAGACTGTGCCCAACTGATCGACGAACACTCCTTGAGGTGACCATAAATGCCTTGGAGTATCGCCTTGTCCTAGGCCACCAGCCACAATAATCCCTTCTTTTGCATCCTTCGTCCATTTCATCACACGATGATTATACCAGTCCGAGACGTAGACAGAATGGTCACGATCAACAAACACGTGTGTGGCATCATCGAGTTGATTGAGATCATCTCCTTGCCCATTACCACCTGCTACCACTATCCCATTCCTCTCTCCCATTCGATACTGTCTCACCTCTTGCACTGTAGATACATAAATAAATCTCTGATTGTCCATTGTCAATCTCGAACACTTGATATTATTGATGATTATCTCTCCACAAGTTCGATTCTGACGAAACCATCGCATTACTCGATTGTTCATTGAATCGCAAATGATGAGACTATCTGTATCTTTGTCGAAAACCACATCTACTGGTCTATTCAATTGATTAATTCGCTTTCCTGGTCCGTTGCCACCGGCTACTATTTGACCACTCGTTGCACCAGGTTTCCATTCCATAATACGATCATTGTTTTTGTCAGCAATGTAAACAGTTTGATCATCATCCACATAAAGCCCCACAGGATTGTTAAGTTGATTCAACGCATCGCCAGGTCCATGGCCTCCAGCGATAGTCACTCCGTTTTCTGCCCATCTAGCATTTGCGGGAATGTTCGGTATGAAAACTGTAATAGAGAAAGAAAGAAATTTCTAGAAGAAATAATACTCGATGAATTCCACCACAGCCTAGTAAGATTTTCGTGAGTATCCAATTAAATTTCGTTCAGATGTTCACGCAGCTTCTTGATACCTTCGAACGCTTTTCTTAATGTTTCGAACTTTCGATGCGATTTTCTGATTATTGCCTTAAATTATCATGGCTTTTATATAACTTATAGTTTTCTTCAGAATCCCAATCTAAACTTTTCCGAGGATTTTCCGAATTTTTTCGCAACACTAGAAACCTCCATTAGATTTCAAGATTTTTGAAAGACTTATTGGAATTTCACGATATTTCCTTGTATTTTCTCGAATTGTTGACAGTTTAGGGGCATACCAAAACATCTTACGCCTCTTAAAAAATGGTCATTTTCCGTCAGAATCATTGAAATTGAGATAAAGGCACGGGACTTATAGCCCATAATCTAGTCACTCATAAACAACAAAAATTTTCATCCGGCACCTCGTTTTTTCTAAACTTTTTTCAGATTTTCATCATATCGTATTTGAAAAATAAGCCATTTTTGGAAAAACCGAAAATCTTTTTTGTTTTTTCTCAATTGATGATATTTTGAACACAGCATAAATTTCTCCACCCAGGTTCGTGTAACATATGTCAGATTTCTTCTTGTTGGAAAGAGCATGTCAAAATGCAATGCCTATCAGAGCTTTTTTTTTTATTAAGCTTTTTTACTATATATACAAACACTTATATAAATAGAGCGCCATTTTTTGAGAGTCTTTTTTAGTCATTGATCTGAAAAAAGGGCTCTGGTACACACTACATCCTGACATGCTCTTTCAAACGAACAAAAAATAAAATACTTACAATGAACCTGGACAGAAAATCTTGTTTTCATGATACTCCCCTCAAACATCATGATATAGGGCTCAAAATTTCACCATAGATTTCCTATGATAGCCTCAACATGTCCTCATAATGTCATACCACATGAACGTTGCTCAGCTGAGATTGATTTTTTAAGGGATGTTGGGGCCTTATAACCACCGGAATTCTCTTGAACGACAATTGATATTTTCTATATGGTTTAGATAGCAATCTCTAGAATCCTGTAGATTTTCTAAGGTAAGCTTCTTTTAGCTCTATGTTCATCGATGAATAATAAGAAACACATGATTGTTTGGAAGCTCTCTTGGCATTTCACATTAGGAGCAATTTCAGCAGGATATAGATTCTGGATGAAATCCAATTCAATTCTATTTTGGGTAACACAGTCAAACTCAAGACGAGATTATAGAATTTCGAAATAGAGATTATTCTACGTAAAAATGAAAATTTTGCAAAAAAGAATCGTCGGATTCCGCCCTGAGGAGATTGCAATGTGAGTTTAATTCAGTAGTCAGGACTGACTGCGAGCTGTATGCTTAAGTTTATTTTAGAAGTATCAACAGAAAATAGAAAATTCAGACTTTTTTCAAAAAAGTAGTCATGGTCAATATTATCGACACATTTTTTTAAATGTGTGCGTTGAATGATAATTTTCAAAGCAGAATTTCGGAAGCAATAACAAGTGATTAATAGATCAAATTTAGTTGAGGGTCAAGCAAGTCCTGGCGACGAGCGTTACTTGTTATTCAAGAGTAGTGAAGAAATCTTTGAAAGGTCTTAGAAACTACTTTGAACGACGCATTAGCAGGTTTCTTTGCTACCCATATATGTTCGTTTGCAAAGATGCTAAAAGTTATCGGACACGGCAGTCTTCTAGAGTGGACAGTTCTTTACAAAATGTGATATCGAATTAAGTTGTAGCCTTCACACAATTGAGATTTCTGATCTAAGAACTAAAAAGAAACTAAAATAATAGATTTTGTAACGCAAATTTCGAATTTCGAATCGCCATAGTTAAAATATAAGAAAGTGCAAAAAAAAAAAATTTCCGATCGATTTTTTTACAAAACTATAAACTAATTAATTACGTTTTCGTGTAAGTATCTGTGTATCTTCATGAATAATCTTTGAATGAAAGTATCTTTCAACCTTTCTAGCCTTGTTCCTTGTTAGAATTTTATTTCGACAAAAGTTTACAAAATCGTTTTCACTTAGAGTGTAAATGTCTTCGAATAATGAAAATATTTTCATAATCGAACATATAGATTGATATATTTTATCCTTTCTCAATGTTCATTTGAGTGTATTATTTTGAAAGAGTAACTAACAATTACACTCTTCATGTCGAAGAAATCCCATTTTTAATTCAACAACAACGTGATCGATTGTAAAGTGTCATATTTAAAAAATAACCGCACACCTCATTTGACTTCTTGACTTTATTTTTTTGTAATACAAAACAATGTATTCCATTCAGAGTACTCAGAACAATTTTTCTTTCGTCTTTTACAGGAGTTGATGTTTTTCTCATTTCAACTCCATCTTTCAAAAACGACGAAGGTGTGGGGTGTGCTATCTTTTTTTCCTTCTTCTTCACTAACACTTATGTACAGCCACACCCTCAAGAATATTCGAATCTCACCTACATCAATTCTTGTTTAAAAACTTGAGCTATAAAACGAGACCAAACTTCTTCAACTTTCTTCACTAATTTAGCTAGTTTAAATGTTGAAACAAATATGGTTTTCAATTCACTTACCCACTTTGTTGTCTTCTTTTTCAACGTAGATAAATCGATCCCAATCGACTTGATCGTTCGTCCTTATGATCGATGTAATTATTGTTGGTCGAATTACTTGTTGCAGTGATATTTGTATCTGATCTATTTTTTGTTGAAGTCGTTCGATATCACTTTCGTCAAAATTGGTTTCATCTCGTCGGTCACGAATTTCTTTTGTCATTATGCCAAAATCTTTTGTTAATGCATCTTTCTCTTGAGCCAGCAGTTCAGTAAGTTGATGACGAGCTCGTTCAGCTGCTTTATGCACTTTTTCCGTTGTTACAGTTTCCCATCGATCAATTTCATCGAAAAGTTCTGGCACAGGGGCATTCGATTGATTCACTGTATTCAATTTTTCCAGAAGTTCATCATGCTTTCTTACAACTTCATTATCAAATTTCATTGATAGCTGTTGATGATGCTCATTAAAATGCTTCATGCAAAAATAATTTTTACATCCATTACATATGCATTTCCCTTCTATCTTCTGACATGTCAAACATAGGTTTGATTGTAATCGTGATACCATTTTTCTATTGATAGAACATGAATATCAGTGTCTTACAGAATATGAAACTATATTAGGAAGATATCATCTCACATCTCGACGCGTAGCGATTATAACAACGTAATCGTGAATGAAAAAAAAGTGTGCAAGCATCAAGGCATTGTTTTTGCGCACATTCTATTTATCTTTGTACTCAGGCTTGTTTTTGCAATGAAAATTATTATTTCGGCGTGTTCTCTTTTTTTTATTATTCCTTATTTCAGCACTATTAAAAGCAGTTTGAGTGATGAGAATTGGCTCGCAAACAAAAAATTGAAAATTCCAGTAACAACAGGCAATCAACTATTCGATGAAGAAGAATACCCTCACTCACATCCTGCTCACTCTGACTTAGACATAGTGATCGCTAAACCAAATATTTTTATTGAGGCGTTTCGACGATTCCTACGTGAAACTCAATACTTTACTGTCATTTTCATGATTTTCTGTAGCATTCGAAACTTTTCATTGACATTCCACTAAATGGTCAGCGAATCAGGGCCTCTCTGCTTTTACTATCACTTGTGTTTATGAGAACAGGAATTTTTTCGGCTGATTCTCAATGGTTGACCTGTTACTGAAAGTTTTCAGCTTTTATCCTTACAGGTTTCTCCAACATTCAAAGGTTTTTAGCATCTTTTCTATGGATTTTTCTGAGGCCTTGTTACCCCTACTATCGCCTTGGTGAATTGGTAGAAGTGTCGAAATATAAAAAATTGATTTCTTCGTGTGACCATGCAACCTAAACATTTTGCGGTCTGAATTAGTGCTTCACCTATAGTTAAACACATTGCCTTGTGATTCGAAGCGATTGATCCTTAAAGTTTCACATTACTGCGAGTAGTTACAGTTGTGCTTCTAACTCCGTTACATTGACCTTTGATATCAAGCTTACTGTCCTCAATGTTATGAATTTCACTGGACTCAGGAGCTTTTATTCTTTATTATTTTGCATCACTCTCTAACTGATATATTCATATCTTCGTTTGAACAAATCAGATTCCGACTACAAGTTTTCTCACTATTTCTCTTCACTACACTCAAAATTTACAACAGTGGTCCTGTCATTTTTATACATGATCTCATTGAATGTAGTAGCTGACGTGCACGAAAAAAAAAACGATCGGCTTAAGTAAAGTCGACTATGACTGTCAATATTATATCTGTCTGAATTGTTTTTAATATTCGCAACGTTTTGACGGTACGTATATAAGATTCAAAACAGCCTCTTTGACTATTCAAATCTTCTTAATGATTTGCTCACCACGGTAAATTAATTGACATCAAAACCTACTAGATTGCTTCAATAGTATTGTTGTTGAATGGAATTTGTTGCAACTTTCACCGTTTCTTTGTATGTTTGAAATGATCTGCTTCTCATTTGTGCAACATGGCAATGCTTTCTACTCTGTTTCTCTTGGTTGTGCGTTTTTTTTTCTTTTTTTTTAAATTCTTCTCAAATATTTACACTATTGAGAAGAACTATACATAGCAATAGTGAATTATTCACGAAAAGAATGGATGAAGAATGATCGCAAAGTAAGAAAAAAAGTGATCTTTACTTCATGAAATCTATGTCCAATGAAGTGCACAAATCGATGTTGATTTTTGCATCATGTGAAGTGGTTGAAATGTTTCACAATTAGATAATGACTAGTAATGAGACATTTTATACAACTTTAATTGAATTATTCATAGTAGACAGAATATGGTTGTGTTTTAAAAAAAGTTTTTACATTTTATTACATACTAAAATTAATCGAACTTGCATTTTAGGAATCCCATTATTTATGCGCAACAGTACCAATCGATAGACAATTGAATTCCATATCTAATACAACACATTATTAATCTAGAGGAAAACCATCAACGAATATCAACAAGAGACATTCGAATTCACTTGACTATTCTATATAACTTCTCACTTATTCCTTCAAAATAGTATCATCGAATCGATAATGGACTTCATTAACTAGAGATCAATATAGTTTTATTTTCTGTTCACATATATCAGTATTTTCAAATTGAGCAATATCATGAAGATAGATGTATAAAATATAAAATGCTCTTCATATATCTTTTCAACTTGAATTTATTTGATCCATGTCAATATTTGGACACTTTTTCGATCAGGTGTGGGTATGGGTTTAATTGTAATAGCTCTTTTCATCCACAGCCACACCCACCATCGATCAATAATTACTAAATTATGGATAGAAAAAGATAATTCTTTCCTTGTTATTAACCTTGTTATGTTTAAACTCAAAGTAACTATTTACTGATGATCAAAATGTTTTCAAGGCATTTAACACAGACGATTTTTCTTTTATGACAAAGCTTATTATTGAATATTGACCACATAAGAATCTTCTTCTCTTATTTTTTATTGAAATCAATTTTAAAGATAGTTCAATATTATTAATTTCTTTTCGCATTAAATATATTCGATAAAAATTCATATTTTTTTTTTCAAATTATCTTGTTTTATTTTTTTATCTATTTCTTAATATAATATTAAATAAGTAAATATCTAATCAATCTTGTAAAGAATATATCATGTGCTTATTTGAATTTGATAACAAAAAGAAAGTTCATCAAATTTCAGTTTTATTTATTTATTTTTATAACCCTCTGCCGATTATGAACATTCAAGTTCTTGTTGAGGTTCCTTTCTATAAAACAGAAAAATGTCCATTACTATTTTTAATAAAAGACTATTAAAAAAAATACCGATGAACAAATATAACTCCGAGTTTTAAATTATTCGACATTTTTATTATATTGGATAATAGTCCATACGACGAGCTACTACTAGTTTTTTTGTTTGTCTCCGTAAACACAAGACACAGAATCAATCGATTGATTTAATTAAATAATTTTAAAAAATGAAACTGCTCTTTTGATAGTTCGAGATGGATACACGACAAGTAATGGCAAATATATGTTCCTCTCAACATAATACGGGAACAGAATAAAAAAGGTAATATTTAATTCAAATATTATTTATTATCTAAATGAACTTATGTACAGTGAAGCTTTTCTTGATCTTGAAAATTATTGATCACTTTTTGTCAGGTACATTTCATTATAGAGTGACTAAAACATTATCTCTCATTATTCAATTATTAATAATAAATAAATAATGTACTTCAGCATGTAGAAAAATTCATCATTTTTAGAAACATCAAAACCTTCTTGAATTATTTTATTAATATTGTCAGCCGCATCTACACCAAAAAAAATACAAATTATTAATATAGAAAGAGAAAAAACGAACTTACTCTGGAACTCACTCAATTTATAGTAGGATTCTGCTCGACTTTTGGAAATCAGAATTAAAAAATTTTTGTTCTGCTTCATCGTTTCGAGCAAGAAGAATTTTTGCAAACGACTGAAAATTAAATCAAATTCAGAAAAAATAAATAAAAGCAGGGGTGATTTACATACTTGAATTGCTTGTGCATACTCCCCTGCATCTTTTTCAAGACAATCATCAACGAATAAATCAGAAGACATATTTTCAATTGGAATTATTGTTTATTGCTCGACAGTGGTAATGTTAAATGAATACGATGAATAGACGTTCAAGAAGATAAAGATAAATACAAACTGAACAAATTAAAATGAGTGAACATATATGATTGGTGTTGCTACGTAGCAACATCAATCACTTTTCTTAACTTCGATGTGGGTGTACGTGTGGGTCAATAAACTGGAAGACAACCATACTCACACTCTCAATGTAAACATGTGGTCCACAATTGGGAACAAATGTTGTGCTATGCTCGTGTCAGTCATTCTCGAAAAAATATTTAATTCCATTATACGTGATTGTTGATGCAGCAGATGCGGGTTGTGGTGAAATATTTAACCCAAGTGTATACAGAGAACAAGTCGTATTTGAGTTTGTCGTATAATTCGACATTGGCCTATTCTCAAAACTATCAACTGTACATATATCAGTTGCCAACGTAGTTGTATCACGTTCAAAAACGTTTTCATGTGCATTCATAAGGCAAGAAAAACGAATAAATAAGAAAGATATGAGTCAAATAGTTTGAGAACAAATTTAATAGACAGATTTCTGTCAAAGCGCAAAAGTACACTACAAGAAATACATACGAGAACAGTAACAATGAAACAAATACTCATTAGTAAAACATAGATCGGATTAAACCATTAAGATTTCAGACTAGTTTAAATTATTGAGAGTGTGACTGTGGTGTAGAAAACATCGGTACCTACGACTCATGCATACACCGTGTATTCGACGACAGCGACTACAGCGAATTAATATTTTTTTTCAATTGTTTTTAGAACCCTGTCTTTCTAGATAGGCTTTCCATAATAAAAATGATTTTTTCCATGCAAAAATAGATTTAAGTGTTTTCCAGCAGTTCACATTTCTCAATGAAAAGATTTTTCTTGTAATGAAAAAGGAAACAGAGATGAACCAATATAGAATTACACACTACATCGATTTCTACGAAGTTATTTTGTTTCCAAAATCTAACGTTACTTATAAAACAGGACTTTAGTGGAAATAAATGACACCTAGAAAATCACATTTAAGAAACTGAGACAATATGAACTTCTTTATCGATTAGGTGTTTTTTTCATTATCTAGTCAAACAGATGTGTTGGTTTTCGTACTAATTTTGTACAAAAAGGCAATAAAGTATTCAACTTTATTTGCGTCTCAGCTGTCATGGTAATTTTTACGAAAATTTGAGGTTTTACGGTTCTCTTTTTCATTTGCACACACATTTTATTGTCTTTATTCTTTAAAAAGCTTGAGATTTTTCTCAAAAAAACAAGTAAAAACTGTAATTTTTGTGACAATTACGATGAAAGCTGACATTCAAAAAGGATGTGAGTAGTTTGTTCACTTTTCGTACAAAATTAATACAAACAAACGTCATGCCTATTCGATTGAATAATGTGAAGAAAAATTTTAAAAACACTGGAGAAAAAAATGGAAAAAAATAAGTTCATTTAAATTTTTGTTGCCGACGGTACTGCTTGGGCTATTCTGCCTTCTTTTTAAAATACATTTGTTGTGCAAGAATCAATTTAATTTTCTAATTACGTTAATGTGCTTTTTTCACAGTTATTCTACCTCTATTGATGCTTTTTGTTATATGATATTAATTATTTTGTTTTTCCACTTTTCAAAAAAGGCTTTTTTCTTTATATTATGAATTTTTTGGTTGTTGTATACTTAATCTGTATGTATTATGCTTAAAAAACAATAAAATCATGACCATTGACAATTAAAACTGAGATAAGCTCTTTTCAAAGTACAAATATTGAATTCATAGTCTCATGATTGAATTGTTACAACTAGTTGCCAGAATCTCGTCTGAATACCTCCAATATGTATAATCTGGAAAGTTTTATTTTAGTTGATATAGTGTACTATGAGAAAAAAGGTCATATTGGATTATAGTACAAGTGATCTATCTCTTATTAAAAAAATGTCCATCTATTGGAATCCCTAATCGTGTACAAAACTTGACCAAGATTGTTATGCAGTAATTATCATTCATCAATTGAAAATGTAACAATAATTAAGTTAGAATTCAAAACATTCCACAAACAAGAGCTCACAACACTATCAAACACAATTTCACTGATGAAGTGACAATCATTGACACACGCAACGTTGATATGGGTGCTATAAACTAAATTTCTTTGGATTTCCTTGAATTCCACGAATTTCTAAATGACGGTTACATCTTATCATGAATGAAACAGTTTACTTAATGTCTGTGTTTATTGTCTGATTTATGTTTTGTACGCGTAAATATGGGTTGACCACTTGAATCCTACAGTATAGACAGCGAAGAGTCTTGTCTTTCACTTGCTTATTCATTTTAAGTAGTGCAAAAATAAGAATGGCAACAGCAAGCGATATTAGATTGTCTTTCAATGAATAAAGTGATTCTGGAGGTGAATGTATGGATCGTATCATATTCCAAACAGGAAGAATTAAACAAAGTGCTCCGCCACACATAATAATGCTTAATAAAACGAAACTATTTCGAACAAGTTTTATTCCACGCTTCGCATTCGATGAATGAGAATTCATCCAATTGGATTGTAAAGCAGTAACCCGTTGTGACGATCTATAAGCATGATGCACAATGATACTATACACAAGTGCGCCAATAATGACAGGTATGATAATAGCAGTTATATTGACATATGTTGCTGTCCAAAACTTTTTTGTCGTTAGTGTACAAAGACGTGATTCCTGTTCAAAAATGAAACCATTATAAAAGAGAGGCTCAATCGGAAATAGAATACTTATTAACCAATTCAAGATAATCATAAACCAGTGAACACGATAAGTAAGAAGATATTTATGCTTATAAAAGACAGCACAAAAGAGACGACCGATGGCTTGAATCAAACATGAATATGTGAGACAAGTACACAACATGACATAGCAATATCCTCGAAAGATACACGCTGGTTGCTGGAAAGCCCAATCTTCACGTAAACCATATACTGATGAAATAATATTGAGAATGAAGTAACCAACAGCGATTACACTCGTATTACATGTGAGAAGATTGCTAATTCTATGACATTGTCGATGAATAATAATGGTGAGAATTATTATAATACCCAAAACCAAACCGACAAATGAAATCATAATTGCAATCGAGAAGTTAACGATGAAATATACGTCAGAAAGCATAACGATTTTCATTTCTAAAAATTTCTCATATAAATTATCTTCAATTCAGCAACTATGACTTTAAATGCATTTGCTTTTTTTCTACAGAAAGGAGGATATTCAAAGCACACTATTTAAAAAATTCATTAGTTTCTCAATGAATTTCTAAAAGCATCATAATGAGCAACATTCATGAAGTCATGAATGCATTTAAATTCTTAAATATGTTCTCATTCTCATTTCAATATGCATCAAAGAAAGATATAGACAATGAGCGATAATGACATATTGCTTGATATCGAGAACTTCGACTATTAATAGTTGATGAGCACCCAGCGTTCCATCATCTTCTTGTGTTATTTGTAGTAAAAATTTGATAAATTAAGTTTTAAAAGTCGAAAAAGTCTAGAAAAACTACAACAAGCCAACAGGATCAAGTTTAGCTAAGCTGGATATTAGAGATGAAGCCCAACTTTTGAGCTAGAACAAAAAACTTTATCAGTTTTTAAGAATTTATTTCAAATAAACAAAGGTAGTAATTCTAAAAACAAAAGAAGTAATTTTAAATGATCGCAATAAATATTTGTAAAGTTGAATGAGCTAGAAAAAAAACTAATCTATATTTATTTCGTTTATGAATCAAATATTGTGTTTTTTCTCTGTGAATTATTAATGAAATCTAGAAGAAAATTTCCATTGCGAGTTATGCCAATAAATGAAAGCACGATAATATAAATTTTTATTTTATTCATAACCATGACACAAGCACTTTAAATGATATCAAGATAAGTTTTAATCAATTGAAATTTTTGACATGAAAATATCAAACGTAATATATTGTCTCTGTTTAATATAAATTCATAAAGAATATTGTTCAAGAAAATTTTTCCAAATATTTCTTTTTCTTTTTACTAAATTTTTCAGAAAATCACGAAAAGAATTCTCCAGAGATTATCTGCAAAATCTTTAATTGCATAATTTAAAATGTTCTTAGGAATCACTATGCCCAATTCTGTCGAGGATGAGATAACAACTTATCGATCAAATTCGAACATTCGATTTCGATTTTCATGATTCGACTTTTGACACAAATATTTCAATTGAAATTCATTCTGACGTTGTTATTCGAAAATTTACTTAAGATTTTCAGGAAAACTTGAAAGAAATTTAAAAAAAAAGCCTTACAGAGAATAATTCAATAAATATTCTAAGAAAGAAAATCGACTAACCAAGGAATATTCTCAATTGCCATTTGCTTTTGAGTCAGAACTAGTACATCTTATAGGGTTCAGTGAGTGATGTCTACTATAAAAAATGTTCGTATCCCTAGCTTGTCTTTGAGAAGATCAAACATTCTTAATTTTCTAGCTAGTATTGCCATAAAATTTCAACTATTTGATAAAAAAAGGCTACTCTGATTTCGATGAAACTTTCAGTATTTGTAAAGCTTTTAATTCTAAGTATTTCGATAGAAATTTTTTATAAAACCATTTTATGTTGATGAAGTCACACTAAAAGTAATGTAAACAGCAAAAACCTACAAAACTCTAAAAAAATACTTATAGAAGAAGTCAAACAATGTGTTGCATTCGGTTATGATTTTCAATATAACATTATTTTTAGAAATCGTTTAATATCACATTTGTTCCATTTTCAATAGTACAGTTCGATACCAAAGTGTTATATTATAGTATCCTCAACAGTTTGCATGTGAAACTAACTGAAGATCACTATCAAATACAAATCAAATCTATAAAAATATCAATTGATCCAAAGTTTTTTACGAAATGCAGAAAAAAAAACTCATAATCTTAATTCAGGTCATTTTAATAAATCAAGTAAACCTGTTCAAACAACTGATTGACAAAATGCATTTCCACCAGACATTTTTTCCTGTAGCAACAATGAAAAAAATCATTTAGGTGAAATTACTGATTATTTTAAAAAAACAATGAGATGAAAGTTGGAACAAACTTCTTTCAGACAATATGAAAAGAGAAACCATTGAAAAATTATTCGAAACATGTCTAATGTTGCGAACCACATCAACAACTCTTGTACCTCTACTTCAAGAAAAAAAAACCTCATATCTTGAAAAATCTTTATCACTTGTATTGACTACAAAACAATGCATAATTCTCGGTGGTATTATTGTCCATTGCATATTAGAACAACAAATGGAAAGAACTTTATATTTTGCTATCCATAAAAAATGGTGAGATTTTAAAAAAGACATATCACATACAACACGTTCAAATTAGAAATCGTCGGAACATATTTCATGACTTATCTTAGAAATAGGGCGTGGGTATCGGGTGTGCATGTACGTGTTGGTTTGCGTGTGAGTATAAAGAGAAATGAACACCGACACCCACACCCTCATGTTATATAACTCTGATCACTCTTTATTCTTTTTTGTCCTTAAGTTTAACCCTTGATCTCGGTAGCCGATATACATACCCACGCAGACAGATAAATGGCATAAACGTTGTTTTGACACATTGATGATGAAAAGTGAAGAAAAAACTGCTTTAAAACTCGTTCACTCGACAAATAAAAGAAATCAATGAGTGTAAACGAGTTTTTTTTGCCGATAACGCATCTTCACGGAGTTCACGAGAATATTACGTCAATGAACGTGTTTTAGCGTACAAAATAGATAGATTAGACTAATAAATGCGTTTTAACATCGACATTCATTCATTTTAACAAGTTAAGGCATTCAGAATGAATATAAGAATAGTTGCTCGTTATAACTGAATTATATAACATTATTGTCAAAAAAAAACAATATATTTCAAGTAAGGCAAACAGCTATGAATTTATTAATGCTAAGTACTTCCACTTGGATTGGGATACTGAAAAAAAAAACATAGAATTAGGAATAGGAGGAAATTTGACATTAATTCCACGTCGAAAAGCAAGCTTTTGAATAATACAATCCAAACTAGTAACTTCTAATGTTGTTCCATGATATGTTCCATATAATACGTTAGTACATTTATATATTCGATGATTTATTGACATGGTGTCTGCTGTTGCAAGTAAACTGACTGGTCGAATAACAAGAACTGGTTCATTACCATTATCAAAAGAAATAATTGTTTCCAAAAAACCAATTGCTGGTATATTCTTTCTATTGTACATTAAACACCCATCATGTGTCCTTCGAAAAATATCAATACGATCAGATGTGAATCGTTGTTGTTCAACAAATACTGTTTTATATAGATTGTATGATTGTCCACCAGTATATTTAGTCACAAATTTTTTAACATCAGGAGCTAGTGAACCTAGATGAACCTTTTTGTGAAATCGAGTAATATGTTGATTTAGGTGCGACAATCTTGAAGGAATTGCATATCTCGTACTAGCATTAATTTGATAATCAAATATCTTCAGTTCAGATGGTAAAGATGAATCAGATGTGGCTAGCCACGTTTGCTGTAAGAGATCCAAGTTTCTTAGCAATTCAATTGTTGGACTATTTCCACTGTGAATTAATCGAGTGAGTGTACCTGTATCAAAAGATAAGGAAAATGAGAATATAAATATATAGTTTGTTGCTTAGAAATAATTTTATTAATTCGCATTTATCGTTTAATAGCTGGAGAAACATCTTATTCAATGTAAATATTTTATGACAGCAATAAATCGCAGAAATTATATGAAGAAAGAAATTTCTATTTCAATATATTTAAGACAATTAATGAAATACTATATATATATGTTATTCAAAAATATCTCTCAATTCACTATAGAATTTATATTATTACTAATGATGAACACTGATAGTATTGCTATTGAAGTGAAGTGATGCAGCAAATATTATTTTTTATCCAGTTTAGCGTCAGATAGTCATCCCGAAAGCGAACAGAATAGAACAAGATGAAGATGAAATATAATTAAGTGACAATAAATAATGATGAGATTTTTCTATCAACATAAAGATCTTTCGTTGTATTAGTATTAATATTTCACTCCATATATAGCATCCATTTTTTTCTGATGAGAAACCAAATTTGATTTAATAATTCTTGAATCTGAATAACTTATCCATTCGGTTTAGTATCTGCTTTCAGTATTCTTCAGCTTTACATAAATCTCATAAAATATTGAATATACTTACCAATTGTAGCTTCAAATTCAAAAGTGGAATATCGAAAAGCTGGTCCATAATTTCTAATACTATCTGCAAAATGATTTAATGCGTGAATAACAGGCTTTGCTTGCTGTTTCTATAATAATAACCGATGAGAATGTACTGTTAGGACTAATATACTGTTAGTCTAAATGCGTATGCTAAGAAAAAATTACATCTATAACTTTACCGTATATAAAGATTCAAATTTTCTGTTAAATTCTTCTAAAAGACTTCGTACATCCTGATGTGTAGCAAGATCAATTTTTGATGATTCAATTAAGTGAGCTGCAAATGCTAAACAACGGAAGTGATCATATCTTTGTTCATCCAAGACTTGATCGAATGCACTGTAAATAAAAATGAAATAGGATGATAATATAAATAACTGAATTGGGCATGACTCACTGATATCCAAATAGCAACAACATTTTATATTCATTCGCTTTGTATATATTGTATTGCTTTAAGTCTCGTGGAACTCTATACGTAGTAGATGGATATGAAATTGATTTAACTATTGCTGATACAGCATCTGTAGCATCTCGTATACTCATTTATGGAGTAATTCCAGTTTTTCGTGAAACACTATCAAAAAATATATGCAGCATACGAGCCTAAATATGTTTAAATTTTACTACAAATGCAAATAAACTCTGAAATTGAACTTTTTACCATTACACCTTCATAAAGTGTATGAAGAGTATCTGATAAAAAAGATTGATAAACGTCAAAATATTTTAATGTGCGTAATTCGCACGGACCACGCAATCCGTCTAATCCGTCATTAATGGATGTGATAGAATTACGTCTTTCCTCGCTTGATGATCGCTATAAAATAAGCAAAATTTTGTGAAAATATCAATAGAGAGCTTGTAAACTATTTTCTCCTTACTTGTAATAGTGCAACAGCTTCATCATATGTATCATTCGATCGTAATTCAAAATCATCATTATCATTCTGCACGAATACTCGAGCATTATCACCACCAATCTTTATGTTCTCACCTTAAAAAGACAGAATCATTTAGTTTGTGAATATTTTTCGTACTTGTATCACAAAAAACTACTATTAAAAGTCATATTTTCAATTCATTTTCTTTACCAAAACAATATGCAATTTATTAATTTAAACATTACACACCTATTATCTTACAATGAATGCAGTCATAGTAACCACCAGCTTCTGTATGATTAATAATTAACGATGTGGCTGGCCTATCACACGTAGCTACTATGACAAATACACGAATAGTTTGATCAACACAGTTAGATGAAGAAATGGGTGTGTATTGAAGAGCAATTCGTTCAAGTTGTGTAAGTTCTTTTACTAGATGTTTCAAAAATATTTGCATTTCGCTTTTATTTGGTTTTACAGAGCCCACGGATATTACCGAAAAATTTTAGAGAAAAAATAACTTCTAAAAAGTAAATCTTAAACGAGACAAATATTATAATTTAAGTATTTTTTAACAACTCTTTTTCTCTACAAAAAAATTTAAATAGATGTCGCAAGCCAATAGTCATTTATCGTATTTGTGTTTCTATGCATTCATATCATTGGATATAAGCATTGTTCTTTCTTTCTGTTTCTTCATGTCTTTGTTCCCTTGTGTCTTTCTTTCTTTGTTTCCTTGTCTTGACATTACATAAGCTTGCAACAATTGTATCATGCAGTCATTTTTTAACTGTAATCAGGAAGAGAGGATTGTCGACACTTTTGCTGTTGAGGTACTATATTTCCATGAAAAATTTTTTGAGTGAATTAAACAAAATAGAATTTTTTAAAGAAATGAATAAAATGAAAATATTTAATTGACTATTAATAGAATCATCTTCGCATGAAATGAATCAGATCTATTTATATGAATAAAAAGAATATGAATTTATTTTAGTACATGTTGATAGAATTATTTATACATAAATGAAAAATAGAATTCAATATGAAAAATAAAATAAAAAAATTTTTTTTTGAATGTTAATAGAGCCATCTTCGCATGAAATAAATCAGATGTATTTATATGAATAAAAAGAATATGAATTTATTTTATTGCATGTTGATAGAATTATTTATACATAAATGAAAAATAGGATTTAATATTAAAAATAAAATGAAAATATTTTTTTTGAATGTTAATAGAGCCATCTTCGCATGAAATAAGTCAGATGTATTTATATAAATAAACAATATAAATTTATTTTATTGCATATTGATAGAATTATTTATACATAAATGAAAAATAGGATTTAATATAAAAAACAAACTGAAAATATTTTTTTGAATGCTATTAGAGTTATCTTGGTATGAAATAAATTAGATATATTTATATGAA